TTATTCATCCACTTTGCATAAGTACTAACAACTGTAGATCGCGAACAACCCACGAGTCGTGCAATTTCGGAAATACTTGTTCCGAGCCTTCGAGCCATTACAATCTGCCCTCTAACAAAGTCGCTTAGATCCGCAGCTTTTCCCATCACGCACAGAAGTAAATGAAAGAATGATTCTTCAGACTCTCCAGCAGCAGTTAAATACCACTTCCACCTGATCACGTGTCTTCCCCGTCATCCAGGCGGGTTCATTGCAAAATGTAGGGGTGGCCATAATGTTTTGGCTCTTGAGTGTATATATAGGGCTATTGATTACATTTTGTAAAATTCATCTTGAAATATATTGTGTGTTAGAAACCAATAGAAAATATACTTATTTTGTCACTCCTGTTTATGAACACATCGATTATATCTCCAAATTATTTGTTGAATATGCCACATTTATTTAATATAATGACAGTTTTGACTTTTCCTTGGTAAACCAATTAATTCTTTTTCCATTTATACGTACACAAATAGCCCACAGATGAGTAATGAATAGAGAACTTTGTCTTTTAGGAAATATTTTAGGAGAAATTGTTCAGCATTATGACTGTATGGTAATAAACCCGGAAAGTTCCAGCCTGACTGAATGTTTAAAGACGTTTTTACATATCTAAATCCCCATCAATACTCTTTCCTGAAAGCAGTGACTGCAATAAATGCCACAAACGGATTTGAACCCAAGCCCTCCTGCAAGCTAGCTGCACACTTTATCACTAGGACATAAATCAGGCCTAGACGAATCTATTATATAAAAATTAATGACATTCAAAAAAATACATGCAAAATGTACTTAATAAGAACTCAAACAAAATATGAAGAAATAATTATTTTGCTCGAGTTCTTATTATGTGCATTTAGGTTTCTACTTAAGAAACTCAAGTATTTGAATACCTTACCAAAATAGAAGTCTGAAATTAATTAATTATAATTTTTTTTACCATGAAAATTTTTTAATGTATTGTATGACGTTCCGTTAGACAAACATATTTTCGAAATTAATTTATTCATTGTTTGTGTGCAAGAACTTTAATTTTTTCTGTTTATTAATTTTTTATCATTCGGACTCAAAACACTAAGTAATTGCAGACATGTTTTTAAGACCGTTAAGAAAGAATAATTTCTAAAAGTTTTCTAATGAAGCTGCTGACGAGGCAAACGGGAATACGTTGTGTACACAGCGAGAAATTAAAGCATTTTTTTTTTTTTTTTAGTTTTTCCCTCGTTTTCAAATGTTGACAACTAAATATCCCTTTGCGGTTTTTAGGCAAGAATTCTGGAGAGATCTGAAAATATTTATCTGCCCAGAAACAGAATGATTCTGTGAAATTAACTCGCGTAATGATCCGGTTTTAATTAGAATACTGATTTTTTAAACCTGAATAATATTGCACGTCTGCAAATGTTTACAGTTTATGACTTATTTATTTGGATAAATTCTTAAATATATAGTAATATATTTTTTAATTTGTTAATAATGGATTTCTATTATTTTGCTTGCTTTAATTTTAAAAGTTTCTCGTTTTAAAACTGAAAAATATTCTACGACAATATTTCAAAATAAAATTCATAAATCCATATTCGAAATATAATTTATACCATTTGAAATGTACTAACTAGAAAGATATTCTTGTCATTTAATTCACTATTTCAACTTAATAAAAAACATTCATATACATTTATGTACATATATATACATTATATTTATATATAATTTCTGATAATTCAGGACAGAAATGTTGAAAATGTTGCAGTAGAAAAATTAAATATAATTATTTGCAATATGTATTTATAAAAATCAATAGTTTAAGCTAATTTTATTTAACTCAAGGTTTCACTTTGGAAATTAATTAAAGAATTTACATTATTTATTTTGAAATATTATAGTAGAATATTTTAGTGCAAAAAATAATAATAAATTAGGTCATGTATTAAAAACACAAGCGTTACGATAATCACAACATTGAAAGAATTTCATTAAATTCAATAAAGTGCGACCAACAGTATATATGTTGCTAATACCATGGATTAGGTATATTTTGTGAGATTAGATTGTTATTTTTAATAAATAAAACAAAAATTCATTTTTTTTAATGATATATGCTTTAATTATTATTTTAATTTTTTCTTCAATATATCAATTGGTACTGCACTATTATATATATTGGTTAGCATAGAAAAAGAATTTTATTACACAATGCATATGGTTATGCCCATGTGATTATGCGAACTTGTGAATAAGTGTACATAATCTGTATAGCAAATTCATTGTCAAGGTAAAAAAAAATTAACAAAATCTTACCAAAATGGCATAGAATAGTATCACATTACTTAAAAGATAATAATAATACTAATTAAAGCACACATTATAAAAATAATATTATACACATAATATTTTTTTTTATTTATTAAAATAATCTAAACTCACAAAATCTACCTAATCCATGAAATTAACACCATATATACAATAGATCACACTTTATCGAATGTAAGAAAATACTTTCAATGATGTGATTATTGCTCTGCTTGTATTTTTAATACATGCTCTAATTTATTTTTTTGTAATACAAAATTTTGCATTTTATTTCAAAACAAATTGTGTAAATACCCGTAAATGAAACCTGTGTCTTGAATAAAATGAGCTTAAAATATTGAAAACATATTGCAAATTATTATATTTATTATTTTCTACTGCACCTTTTACAAATTTCCGTCGTGAATTGTCAGAAATTGAATTTCTAATGAATTTTAGGATTTTCGATTCTCAGAAAAATTAATTTAGCTTATAGAAGTAACTGTTATAATATTTCTTGGTGAAGGAAACGACTGAGCAGATGGATTTTTTTTTTTTTAATTTCTGTGTTTAGAAAGCTTAGACAAGGTAAAGTATAAAAATTTTATGAGCCAGTAAAGAGTAGCTAAACAGTGGTATCGCAGATACCTCTTTCGGGCTCTTTTTTTAGAAATTATGTTGGCACAATGAAATTATAATGTGTACTATCCCTATGATGCATCATGCATAACGTTATATCTGCTACATAAATCTAATGGTGGATATTTTATAAAAAAATAAGAAGCACTTCGATTTAACTATTTACGCAATAAATGCACAATTTAAATTTAGAATGTAGATCAATGTACATAAATCCTAAGGAGCACGAGTTCAAAAATGAAAACTTTTTAAAATTTAAAATTTTAATATTTTTTATTGAAAATATTTGTATTGAACTTTTAGATAAAAAATAAAAATATAATCCAAGAGACTCTAAGAATATTTTGCATCTTATAAAATTATAACAGCTACATACAATGCAATAAATTATAAATTTTAAGCGATAAAACTTAACATTAATTGAAAATCAGTTTATATATATTTCCCGCATCTGACCTCTAGCTTTATAAGTTTCATAAGAAAGTTATTCGGTAGTTTCTGATCAGACTTTAATTATTGACAGACATAAATTACATATTTATGTCTGTGTGTAGATGTATAATTTAAATTTAGAATGTAGATTAATGCACATAAACCCTTAAGCGTAAAAATCGTAAGCGAAAAATAAATACATAGGGATAATAAAATAAATACCTAATATTAATAAAAAGTCAATTCTTCAAACATATTTCCAGTAGATGAACCTCTAACTTTATAAGTTTCTAAAGAAATGTTATTCAGTAGTTTTTGATCAGACTTTATTTATTCACAGACATAAATATGTAATAAATTTATAATTTAAATTTAGAATGTAGATCAATGCACATAAACCCTTACGCATAAAAATCGTAAGCGAAAATAAATACATAGCAATAGTTCAATAAATACCTAATATTAATGAAAAATCAGTTTTTCACACATATTTCCAGTAGATGACCTCTAACTTTATAAGTTTCTTAAGGAAATGTTATTCGGTAGTTTCTGATCTGACGTTAAACGAAATTTCTAAGGATTTCATCTTTTTTGAATAATGTTAAAGTTCCAAGAAATAAAATATGGAATTTTTCTGTATCTTTTAGAAAAGGAGAGAAATATCCATGCATAGAAATCTCTTGAAACGCATTTAAATAAATCATGTCAATATTTTCCTTTTCTTCACAAAATATTGAGTAGAAAGTAAAATGGTTTATGTATCATGCTACATCAAAGCAAAATATATACGCAAAGAAAATTCTAAAACTTATTTACTTCAAAAATTTTTTAACTTATGCTAACTATTTAAATTACATGCAAATCTATATTTTTTCACAATTGTTTCAATTTATTTCATTTTTGTTTCAGATTATAATATAAGATATTTATTTAAAATGAAGCATATACTCAAACGGTATTTATTTTTTTCTATTCCTAAACACATAAAAATATTATATATAGTGCTTAAAAAACATTTAATAACAGCATTTTTCATAGAAATATAGACTATATAAAATATTTTAACAAGAAATATATTTAACAAAATTATGATCAAACTTTAAATATCCTAGGCTATGTTTTTTAACTAATTTTTCCTGTCAAAATTTATCTTTTAAAGAAAAAGAAAAATAAAATACACATTTACGAAAAGAACGAAAACAAAAGTTATGTTGTTCTTTTTCTTTCTTTTCACTTGAAGGTAATTTTCATGTCTGATAACAATTATTTTCTATTTATCTATGATTTATCAGATAGAAGATCAGATCCTTGTTGTTGTTGTTTCTTATCCCACTTGGCTGGCCAAGCCCACGAGCCCATATGGACTCATGATTGAAGGGGAAGGAAGCAGCTTCTGTTGTGATGGAGCACCCGTAGGTAGAAGCCTGACTTTTGCTCCGTGACGCTCTTACAGTCATAGAAGACCGGGACCTACGGCTTAAAGTGGATTCCGAACCACTACAAACATCCATGGCACCGCCGGGATTCGAACCCGAAACCTGTGACACCGAGCGCCAGAGCGCCAGACACTCGGCCATTCAGGTCCCAAATTTGCCAACGGCACGCAGTGTTCCCAGGTGGTCACCTACCCAAGTACTGACCGCGCCCAATGATGCTTAACTTCGGTGATCTAACGAGATCCTTAATAACGTTAAGCGTAAAGCTTAGTGTCAAAGTAGCATAGTTGAAATTCAAGACTTATTCATCGACTTCGAAATGGCCTGCATCCGAAAAAGATTATTTTGAGTGAATTTTTCAAAATGAGCTGTTAGATCACAATTAAACATTAATCGCTGATTAGTGTGTCTAATTTTGCATAATGTTTGTTTTCTGTAGCTAAGACACTTAAAATAATTTTGCTGGAAAAAAAGCTTCCTTTGATAAATAGAAAAGGAATTTTCTATAGTATTCACCTAGTAGTTTCGACCAGACCAATACATGCTTTTAAGATCTGAACCCATGTCCTTTTAATAATTTTTTTTGTCTAATCAATTTTTTTTTGTCTAATCAACTTTTTATAAACCACATAAACCTTTTTAAAAACTGCCTTTTTTCCAGAAATTCAATGAAAATCACATTTTCAGAATGAGCAATGAAATGAATATGTTAGATATGCTAGGTTTTCACTTAGTAGTTTCGACATGACCAATACATGCTTTTTGACATCTGAACCCAAGTCCTTTTAATAATTTTTTTTTGTCTAATAAAAAGTCTAATCAACTTTTTATATACCACATAAACCTTTTAAAAAACTGCCTTTTTTTCCAGAAATTCAATAAAAATCCCATTTTAAGAATGAATAATGAAATTAATATGTTGATTGTCTTATACATTGATTCGAATCGACGGAACTTAAGTTCGAAACCTGATTAATGATGCGGATTCAGAAGTTCTTACGTATTCAATAAATTCAGCTACCGATTAATCCTTTAATATGAGGTGGTAAGAGAACGATGCGATTCATTCTAAATTGCAGAAGAACAATGCAAGTAAAATATAGGGTTACCCCTGAATAATTCTGAATCTGCTACGCACCAGTTGTTACATAAACGAAGGTCAAAACGCTCGGAATTTGAAAACACAACGCTCGCAAAGTTTCCTAATTTCTTAAAATATATGCACAATTAACAAGTAAGAATGGATTAAAAACAATAGATTTAATTATTGTGAATAGAAAACAAGTTTATGCTTTCCATAAAAGTTGTCTTTTATGAGTGCAGCGATATATAAATTTATTAATTATTGAAATTAAATAGAATTACTATAAAAAACATAAATACTTAATTATAATCACTATATATGGATTGTAAAATTTCTAATTAAATGTACGTGGTGCGTTTCAATATATATTTTTAAGAAGAGAAGCAAGCATACGCACAATCATAACACAGCATTTACTAACAATAAGAAGACATTAAGTTTTGTTAGGCAAGTTTCATCAAGGCTTAAAAATAGCGACCTTTTTACTACAAAAATTCTGCAACTCATATGTGAAATAAACAGCATTATGAATAACAAAAGGTTGTGAGTTAGACCTCAAATTCTGCGAATCAAACACAAAAAAAACTAAGATTTAGTACTATATTAATGTCAAAACATGAATTAAATTATTTTTTACAATGTATACAACAATTTTATTATGAAGCTGTATGCTGTTACCCATTATTGCTGCACAGAATTTTTTTATTAAACTCTGAACCTCATAATGGGGTAAAGAATATTAAATATTGTTTAAAAATCTCTCTCTCAAGAAAAGGCCCATAAAAATTTTTGTAGCGAGTCAAAATTTCTAAATGTGCCCTCATGTAATAAAACCTTAATTTGAAGATAGCGTGCACTTATGCAGTGCAAAACATATTAACAAAAGCCGTTTTTAAAGAAGAGCTTTGATGCAAAACATTATGCGTTTTAAGGGAATTTTTGATGCATTTGAAATTATAAAGATGTGTTAAATTGTTATAAAGTCTTACATTTAACTTATTTAAGAGAAAAAGAGTTAAATTGTTTATGCTTCTATTCGTTTTAAGTCTGAAAGTGCAGGCCATAAAAACTAGAGAAAAAATATATAAAAGGAAGCCTTTTTATGAAAAAGCGCTACTTCCAAATAGAAAGTTATTTTGCTTTCATAAATACAAAACTTTAAAGCATTTTCAGGTGCTGTAAACAGTTTAAGGCATTCTAGCATATTTGTGTGTTTTCTTCTCGGAAAAGCCTAATAATTAAGTGTATCATGAATAACATTGTATTTTTGTCATGAAATAATTCATTCAGAAAGGCATTCTACGGACTGAAAAAAATTTCATTTAACAGAGTAATTCACGAGGGATACAAAGCTAAAAGGAAAGGCATGCAACATAATTAGTTTTCATTGTAGAGCTATGTTTGTTATATTTGATTTACAGTTGGAATAAAGTATCAAAATACTGAAAGTATACAAAATGTAAAAATAATATTTATTTTCATACGATAGAAGGTAACAAAATTTCTAAGAATTAAGAAAAAAATAAGAAAAATTACCATTCCAAGTACAAAAATAAGTATATTTTCATAAAAATTATGCAGTATACAAAAAAAATAATAGAGTAATTATGCATCAGAATACGATATGCTAATCAGTGTAACTGCTGTAGTTTTACGTTATAGGAAACGTGACAGAAAAAAAAAACTTTAAAATAGTTTCTTCTACTAGAAATGCAATGCAAAATTTAAGTTGGTTGATGTTAAATATTAATATTCAGCATCATTCATCTGATAAATTGAAATGGCTATATTAGCGAATAGATAGGCTACATAGTTTAAATTATATAGCAAGATGGTTGAATTTGAGTCCACAATTCATATATTGTAACAAATACGATACAGATATTGTTATAACTATATCATATCGGTTAGAAACGGTCACAAACTAGTCAATCACGAATTGATCCTATTCATGATATCCTTGAATGGTCTAGAGAAAATTCGGTGGCATTGCTTCGGCTTTTCTGTAGTTACAATTGTCCTAACGAACACCTTCATAGAATTAGACTGACTCCTGATCCTCTGTGTCTCCTGTGTGATAAGCAGGAAGAAATGGATATGTCTCACCTTGCTTCATGTTCTGCACTGCTTCCTGTTCCTTTATGGAAGCATCATTAGATTGTCAAATTTAAGTTGATGGATTAATTGATGTCATTTGTTTCTTTTGTTCTTTGTATTTATTTCTTTTTTATGAGATCTGTTTCATGTAAACTTGTCATTGGAAATAAAAATATACCATATCCTAATACCCATTAGTGCTAGTTGATGAAAATAACTTTTTTGTTATTGGATATATTTTCATAACTAATAATATAGGATTTTTTAAAAAAATATTTATTTTCGAATAGTGAATTAAATCTATAAGCAAAATTTTTAAAAATAAAATGTAAATAATTAGACATATTTTAGGAAGTGAGAAGCCTGTGTATTGACCATACATAATATCAGTTATGTTTCAGATAAAATTTATTGCCACCACAGTTGTTTTGAAGTATACCTTTCGCCATATATATATAAATGTATGACACTTTAAAGGCCAATAACAAAATATTTTATTCTATCTTGTATGAGTTTCTTTTAAGTTATAACTTCTATCCCAATTTTACAAAAAAATAAAGTAAGGCCTATTAAACTTCAACTTCCAACTTTCTGCAACTACTCTACAAAAAGTCGACGAGGTTTCAACATATATCGAAAATCAACTTGGATGAACAAACATAAAACCAATTTTCAAAAGATTGGCCTTCCTTTTTTTTTTTTCCAAGAGCTTTTATTTAGAACATTGATCAAACCGTGAGTGAAGAAGAAGAAGAAACCATACCATAACCCCACATCATAACATCCGAAACATTGGACATCCTCTTTTCAAACCGAAACTACAATAAAAATATGTCTATAAGAAATACTATGAAATAGAAAAAATGAAAAAAAAAACAACAACAACAACACTTCAGTAAAACAAAAACATGACGGTAGATAACAGAATACAGGCTTTTGCAATAAAAGCAATTCCAAGTCAGTAGTTTAAGGCACGTTTCTAGCACTTTTTATACTCAGTTCGTAAAATCAAACTTTGGATTGGAATAATCGAGTTATCGAAGTCATTTGGGATCGTTATTTTTGACCTCTAGGTTCATAAAAAGTAATTACAGGGCGAATACGGGAGATTTTTTTCTATAATGTTTGGTCTGTTCAAAGAGCAAACATAAAGCGAGGAAGATAAAAACGTAGAATCCTTAATCACTTTAGTTTGGAGATTAGCGTAGCGTAACAACAAAAATGGTTCAATTTGTTTGCTGGCTTTCGATTGTTTTATAACTGGATCATGAAGTTATTTGTTTTTAAAATTCGGAAAACGTAGTTAAGTTTGTACTTAAGAAAGGAGAAATTTATATTGTTTGATTAAAACCGTATTGAATTCTTATTTAAGATTACTTTTACTTTTATCCATTATGAGTTATTTATTTTCAATCTAATGATTCTGGATTCATAACCAGATCCCAGGGTTTTTTTTTAAATTTTAAATTATTAGTATTCATATTGTTTCTATTTTCAACTAGCTATTATATAAAAAACTGCAGACGGTAAAAATAAAAAAAAGTACTGTACGCGTACGCAAAAACTTATTGTAGATGAATATTATGAAAACAAACCATCTAAATTAAATGGATTAATTAAAGCTAAAATAAAGGATTTTTAGAATAAAATGTAGGAAAAAAATTACAATTATTTATAACATATAAATACAAAATTATAAGAACTAAAAATTTTTAATATAAAATATATAATATTATTTTATATTAGATCAAAATATTCTAATTTTTTTCAGTGCATTTTTTTAAAAATATACCTTGCATACTCCTTTTTGATTATTTTTATTTATGTCAAAAGCCAGAATATACACTTAACAAAAGCCAGAATATACACTTATCAAAAGCCAGAATATACATTCTTGAATATTCTGTCTTTAAGTGGAGTGTGGAATGTTGTATTTAAGTGGTATTAAGTGGAATTCTTTATATACACTCAACTGCAATGTGCTGCCACCTGCCTTTTGTGATTGGTTATTTCACGTTGACGTCGAAAGTAGGTGGTGGTCACATTAATGTGACTGGACTGTGT